TCGTTCTCCGCACGGAAAATTACAAGGTCATTAGCATTTTGGCATCACAGTGCTCCTGTTTGCTGTATGACAGTATGCGACAGACAGAGGACATTTGTTCCTCTAAGATACTTTCACTTAATTCTTTCTCGAGCGAATACTGGGAGAGCCTACCGTACATGAAGCGAATGAGTTCACGGTAAACATTTAGCCTATTATTCTGTCAAGGTTTCTACCCTTCATTGCACCCAAATCAGAAAATCGTTTACCACTGACAGGCCGTTCGCGGTGTTCGGACTTTCTCCGCTTATTCACATCGGCACACCCAAGGTTATTCAGGAAGTTGTACTCCGCCATAGAGTTCCACATCACGTCAGCACATGCTCGGAACCACTGAGCCCTCCAGCGCATCGACTTTTCTAGCTAGAGCTCAAATGATAGACATCTTACATCTCAGCCACCCCTTTTCAGAATCACGAAAGGAATATACTATTAAACGTGCTTTGTTTCAGGATGTTTAGCTACCGAGCTAAAATCGAGCTACGTTGCTCGATTTGTTCCGAAAAAGAGTGAATTTTACCATGTTTATCCAATACCAACAGAAGTGCAACTGGCAAATTTTGGACACAAACAGGGTCCGGAAGCGTTTTCAAGGATTTTTATTAGTAGAGAATCAAGGAATGTCTCAATAGCCTTTCAGTTAGTAAACAACACAACTCAAACAAATCCGTATGAGGTGACGTATTTGGATGCAGTAATATTAGGCGCAATTTAAAACGGAAATTCAGAACTAACAATCATAGGACGAAGTATTTTACGGTTATTAATCATTGGAAAATGGTTGCTGAAACACCGTGGGGATAAATAATAGATTCAGGTGAGAATCGCACCACATGAACAGAACCGTTTCACACATGAGTGTTAGACAACATGAGAAAAGAAGTGGTCATGAAAAGGAAACTTTTTTCCATGGATAGCACACAGGACGACAGCACAGGTCACGTTACGATGAAGGAAAAGTCAGGAAAAGTCAGGCAGACATGTTTTACTCAACTGTTGTTATCGTTGGTCAATATATGTTTGGTGCTTCAGCACTTTTGTGGTAACATACGCCAGGCCCAGAGGAAAAGCCAGTAGGGCAAATGCGACCAATTGGCTAGGTTTTAACAAACATGTTGAGAAACTATCTGACTAGTGTGCAGAAATATGTACTGCAATATCTGTGAACGTCAAATAGAAGAATTTATTAAAGAGGGAAGGAGTGGTTTGAGCACTTACAAGAACGATCCTTCCAGACTGCCGACTTCTACCAAACGGCGCTCTGCTTCCCGGCGTCCTATGCAATGATGATACCACGGTTGACACACGTGAAGTTCTTTGAGAACGAGATACCGAATATGGTCTCGCATTGGTCCCCCAAGGGCTTCGTCAACACTACGACCCTAAAAATTACAAAAAAAGATAACGCACAACAATGTCTATAATGTTCAACGTGTCATAGTTGGGTGTAACACTTTTTTTGTTTTAAACAGTCTTTAACCCAGTCAGAATATCATCTGACTACTGGCGAATTAAATAGCCATAAATCATCGCCGAGTATCTAATAATTGCTGATTCATGAATGCTTCTTAGTGGAAATGTGCTCGGATTTCCAAAAAGCTAAGTCATACAAGCGCTTTCTTTTTAACGAGATTCCTTGGGTGGGGTTAAAGAAATTGAACGCAAGACCCTATTAGTAACACCTTTGGTTGGTATCCCAGCAGGTGCAAATACTGATAGACACACAACCCTCCTTTAGACTGCCATCAACATGAGACGAAGCCGTAGTTGATGCTTAACCGATTTCGTGCACTGGTCATATTTCTTTAATACGCACAAGATTGTGGTTGAGTGAGTGTTCTAATAGCTCACACCCTTACACGTGCTACCCGGTCATATTTCTTTAAAACGCACAAGATTGTGGTTGAGCGAGTGTTCTAATAGCTCACACCCTTACACGAATACAAATGGTGAAGTCGTTTTTCAAATCGACATTGATTTGAGGCTCTCAATCACCCCTGCTACTGCGGCAGAACGGTTCAGCAATTCTTATGTGTAGAGACTAGCCAATTAGACTTGAAAAATCACGGAAATCGAGACACAACCCCCCCCCCACGGAAGAGTGCAAGGTGACTCAATGGTTCAGGCGGAAGTCACTAAACAGGATGACTGTTACTGAAATCTATCCCCGGCTTCCTGATTGGTTCCGTTTGGGATTTGGTGACCTGAATATTCGGCGTCGTTCGTACTACCCTCAAGACAAAATGGTGATACGATAAAATGTTGTAGCTGAATGAATCAGCTACTGATGTTTCCTCATGAAAATTGATCGAGTAAATCTCCTAAATTTCGATTGCTCTACCTGAGACCTGACGATATGTTCTTATGCCGGAGGCTTATGACAGAACCATGGTTTGACTTTACGGCTAAAATACAAGGGGTTATGAATATTCCCCAAACTGGCTTATTTCTCCGTCAAAATTTTCCATATTCATACGAGGTCACGCTTACATACGCAACGACCACGGCTAATTGGTGAAAACGGATATTCCTTGAGCACTGGGAACTCAGTATTTGTGGACGAATAGGAAGGGAGAGTGAATTGGCAGATACTATTCGAGAGCGAGACACGGATGGCTTTTCTTAAAACCACTATAAACAGAAGCACATCAAAATCGGTTTGGATGTTTCTGTTAGGAGACGTTTTGCGTACTGACGAGGCGTATATAACCTTCGTGGGCTTCAACGTGGTACGTCAACATGTTTTGTGCAAGTAGCACATCAACCGAACGCACTTTTGAGTACCAAACGGTTTGCAAACCAATCGCTACGATCGTAAGCAGCCAGTCGCCGACGGACAAAGGCTGCTTTTCGATCGACTAGGCTCGGCAACTCCATCGACTTTTCAGATCTCTACGCAGGATGTACTGTACAGGTGCCAGTTGGAAATACACAGAAATTATAAAAAGAACGGAAGATGACGGCACCCACCCTTTTGCCAACAAACTGAGGTGGTCGCCATAAGGACTCAAAAATTCTGAATCTTCGTACCAAGAAGTAGACGATACCAATGGGAATCTGGCAGATAGGATCGTGTGTGGCAAAACACGGAGAACACGAAAAGTAAACTACAGCAGCTTGGAGCCCAAACGGGCCCTTACAAAGAAGAGGAGTTCTACGGTGGGGATATTCCCCGAATCATCGGTGAACGAAAATGCGGCATGATGACGAATGATGGTGATGATGATGGTGATGATGATGATGATGTTGGTGATGACGATGATGATGATGATGACGATGATGATGATGGTGATGATGATGAGAATGATGATGATGATGACTATGGTGATGATGATGAACCTCAAGTTTCCACTTAACATTGTTTTGCCAGCACTACATTTTATTATTACCAAAATGAAGTTAAGATGGAAAACTATATACATACATCTTATTGATAGCAGAGAATGGGTACGGATTAACGAAGATTACTTACAGCAAGACGTTAGTTCCTTACTTACAAATTAATCAAAACAATAACGGAAATATTCTCAGTCATGGAGTTACACCGAAACGCTGAAAAATTTCAGACGTTGAAAGTAATTGTTATCCGGGCGACAACCCTACTACTGGGGATTCCCCATAGGGAACGGACCACCTTGCTTCAATTCAATGTGCAATTGTATGAACTCAGTTCGTGTTCAAATGTTCTTCTAATGCTACTATTGGAAACAGTGTCTTGATGGTTATTCTCCTTTCCGATGGGTTACACCAGGGTCATCTGTGACCACAATAATCAAAGTACTAAAGGCGAACTGAACTACAACGATTGCAAGAACTACCGCTATTATCTCATGGTTGGCTCGGCTGTTTGCTAGTCACAGTTTGATCTCCAGTGAATACCTTCACAATAAAACCGTGATTGTATCTCAATTGTGTGCCAGTTCTTGCCATTTGCTTTTTACGTTTTATATGTGACTCCTTCGCCTGTAGCCTGCCGAAAACGAGCCTGGAGGGGAAAAATCTCAACAAAGCTGAATAGCAACGATTAATATACGAAGAAGAGTTCGGAACGGAATCGAGGGATTGGCGAATAACACAGAATGTCTGTCATCGAGGGGACCCTAAAAATGTTCTGACCAACAGAAGACTATGTAATCTGTATCAGTGAGTGAAAGTCCATTGATTACGTCCCACTCCGTAAAAGAAATACTTCAACCAGATATAGGTTCGTACCAGCCAGCCCCATGTTTACAAGCACGTGCGCATACCTACACACCCATGGGTGATAAGATAAGAGGAAAACAGCAGCGCTATCACTTCGTAACGGAAATCCTGAAGCAGTCCAGATGTTGTTGTAATAGAGATATCGGCTAAGGAACAAAATATATAGCTCACAATCAGACTACAAAGACAATGTTGGAATGATAAATAGTCACAGCAACAAGACATGTCTGAACATTGTCTGAGCAGAAAATTGACAGGACTCGGGACAGCCGCGTAGCTGACGTAAAGGCCGGACTTGGGAAATTTGTCGCGCTTCTAAACGGAGCAGTTTATTTCTACACTGTGACATTCGACTGTACGCAGCCTGCAGTCATCTGCAAAAAGTCTGGAATCGATTAAGAAGTCAGGATGGTTTGATTATTGTTTAGCAGGCTTTTCTAGGACGACATACGCTCTCTCACTTAAGTTAGAATGCGGAAATTTAATTACTCGTTCCCAAGGTCATAATCCAAACATGTGCAAGCTTTTTCTTGAAATCCAAATAAGTCTTCACCATTCTGAAGAAACGTGCAAAAGGTGAGGAAGCGTTTTAGAAGGATATTTTGAAGCATTTTGAGTGCAAGAAAGAATAAAAATGTATATTCATTTGGTACGATGCACATGAGGTACTTCTCTGAAAATGATGATGAGACAGGCCTAGTTCAGCTGCTCCAAGCTTTCTTCACACAACGAGCACACTTTTTAAGCCAGGATTGTTGGACCTCCATATCACCCCGAACGCACACACAGTTGTATTCCAAATGACTGTTTTTCTCTACCCTAAATAGTATTTAATGAAAGTATACTGCTGATGCAGCGCATGGTTTTGACACAGACAAAAATTGCATCTCTATGAACCTCAGAGCAGTGCAAGGAACGTTCGATGTCCCAAAGTGTTGTGACGTAGGATTTTTCCTTATTCTTGAAATGGTTGGTAGCCTCTCTTGCCCGTTAGGATGGTTTATATTCGTCAGTGAAGTAACCATATCAAGTAACCTCAGGTGGCCCTTGCTTTAATAAAGTCTAAAGATTGGCACTTTACACTTTCGAAAAGCAGATTCTGCACCTACTCCATTATCACATTTAAAAATCCGTAAATTCATGCATTCATTCCCTGTTTTATTGTCCGGAATACCTGAGTAACACTATTGCTTCATTGTATGGTCCATGACGAATGTTCACTGTTACAGTGTGATGTCAAGGGACGCATTTGTCAACTTTGTGGTCATTAAGCAAAATGACGCTTGACAATAAGTGACTTGAAGCTTCTAGACTCGGTCAGCATTCAAAGTCATCACGGCTCGTACTGCGATCACCAGTGACTTTGTCCTCTCTCAACTTTCGGTCCGAGGCCACTGGGTCTAACTGAATAAACTGGATGGATACAACAGTAAATATCAGGTTAACCCTTCTTCCATCCATGCTGTGATATACCTTTCCAACTTTGCTGTAGTTCCGCACACCAAAAAAATTTTATCTGGATGCACGAATGTGTTTTTGACTTCTTTGTCTTGATAATTTGTCAAATGAGAAGAAAACTTTCAAAACGATATCATTTTCTGGCCTGCTGTCGTCGGTACGGGAGAAAAAGGATAGTTTCTAATTCTGAACTGCAGCCACTGAGAAAACAGATTCAAGACTTTTTCACAACCCATTATGTTTTTCTCCGTCTGAATAAATAATTAGCCCTTGGAGAGTTTGTCCTGTCCAACGGCCAACGGGGTGGGCGACGCGAATCCAGAGACTTGTCTCGGATGTATTCCATTAAAAGTAAACAAAAAACTAAGAGATATATGGACGACAAATGATATTTAGATAAATTCTAACCAAAACAAAATGAGGTTTTGAAGCATTTGACAGTTTTATGCCACTACCCAGTCCATAAGCTTCGCTTAACATTTTATTAAGTAACTGTCCAATTGCATTTGATTGTTCAAACGACTTCAGATTTCAGTCACTAGTACATTAGGGACCAGTTCCGTTCAATTCGTGTTACATGGTTAAACACTGGGATTCGGGTTCCGTTCAAACTATTCATCGAACTTTTTCTTTCAAAAGTGCGGTATTACTAAATGACTGAGCAATGGCGTAACTTGAGATGAAAAGACGGAAATTCTTGTTGGCGATGTGAGAAAATCAAGGCAATAACTTATTACAGCCATAATGTAGAATTTTATGTTCCTATTTCAAAAAAGACTCCATTCTGAGGGACTTGGTTGCCGTATTCTTTGAGGCCCTAAATGAAGCCGGAAGCATTAGATGCTATGAAAGGAGTTAGTTGCTCACCAAAACAAGTGCACAGAGGGATCTGACAACAACTGCAAGTGGCACATGAATGACTTGTCAGCATATTTTACATAGATTTAGCCACTCCAATAGGTACTGGTCACCAATCTTTTCATTTATAAACGGTGACTGGTTACCACATCGCCATGTGATATGGTCAGGATTTCATCCAATTCTCCACAGAAAAAACATCTCTTCCCTCCAAGAAAGACGTATCATCTAGTCGATAGTGCTATGACACCTACTCACATCCTGCCTTATTTTAGCCGTCGATTGCATCATTATGACCGACTTCTTAGCTATTGCACGGTTACGTCTAGTCTGATATTTATAGCTGTTGCACTCAACGCAGTTCCTTCCTATCAGATCGTCTCGGCCGCTTTCATCTAACCGTAAATTGTGTACATCAACAAAGTTTGAACAACACGAAGGGCACATGGAAGCTGAAAGATACAGGAAATCCGCTAGAGGTTTTGTCCTGTAGTTGGAGCTCATTCATGCTGAAAAGCCGAGAAGCACTGTACCGCTCTTTCGTTCTTGTCGCGAATCATCAACAGTGCGCGTCTTACCTCATACTATCAACAACTTATAAGTAGTTCCGGGAGAAATAAAATTCACTTGATCAGGGAAACTTTTGCCTGGGAGGTCATCGCTTAAAGAGCCAATTAAAGGGTGCGCTTATTTGGTGTGGATCCCATTGATGATGAGGTGTGTTGCGTACTCCCCGAGTCTGAGTTACTCACACCGCTGATCAGTCGCTCGTGGCCAAACGATAAGGTATTCAAGCTTCTAACCGAGAGGTCGCGGGTTTGAGACTCTCCGGAGGTTTGTGAGGCTGACATAGCTTCTCTATTTTCAGCATAGATTGACTTCACTTAAAAAAATGAACTTTCTACTCCTAGTGCCAACAAGCACTTTGCGGTGTCATGTCAGCACCAAGACCAACAACCGCAAATAGGTATTGGAGCAACTTTCAAAACAAACTTTATCACAGGCGTACGGGCCGAAGAGATCAGCCGATCCACTGAGGCTGCACGAGCATCTCCGTAACGTCCTTCTGGCCGATGGTCGTATAACCCATACAACAGTGATCGTCGCGTAAACGAGGATGATGGTTTGATTCTTGACAAGCCCGTGTGATTTAAAGGGCTGTAAGTTAAGCATACCAAAGGAGAGAAAAATGTTCCAAACATCTGGTATAATTTGTTTGTTTCCGTAGAAAGATTTAAAATCACCTCGCGCAAATACATCTACATCCACGTGGCGTCAGTTGCTTTAAATGTCGAGGTGACAGGTTCACGAAATTTCGAGTACAAGGCCTACGAACTCGTGTACGTGGAATCATAGCAGCTAAGTTTTGCTTAAATAAACCACTCGTAACTGTAGCTTGGAATATAAAGCTGAATCGTTTCCAATAATCAGAAACCTAATTAAGTTGTGACGCTGTGTTTGGCGATCCTCACCACAGTTGCCATAATAAAACTGCTCTAACTAGGGTGTCGCCCAAAGACGTGTAGCGTTTAAAAAGTTCGTTAAGTTATTTTTCATATTCCGAACAATGTATTTACAAGCGTGATTGCACATCTGGTTAAAGGATTCCATGACTTTTCAGGTCAAATTGGGAAGGAGTGTGCCCGAACAAACCGCCTCCCTTGACGTGGCCTCAGTTCTTAGGACAAAGAGAGATACAATATTCACCTGACCCTGTTTATTTTGGCGAACGTTACCACAAGCTGATCAGAAAGTCATGGTAACAGCTGTCACGTGAGTGGAATGCACTTTGTAATTACGAAGATTTCTCGGTCAGTGGCCGAAATCCACACACATCCTCATAAACCACTGGAATGGAGAGACCAAGACACGTTGTATGGGAAAAACAGATGGAGAAAACATAAAAAGAGAACTAGATTCTGTACCTAAGAACAGTAGCTATTTTGTTCTCTAACACTTACACAAGGCGAACATTATTATCACCTTTATAAAAAAAATGATTACATCTGTAAGAACTAACAACTGCTGGCTGTCAAAGTATTCAGAAGCAGTTTACAAACTGAATGTAGGATTCAACGGTTACCACTGTAATGAATTCTGCTGCGATCCACTTGCAGGTCTGCTAGGCACGATATCCAAATGACACCGAGCCCATTTCAACTGCTTTTCGTAAGAAAAGTGTGAGAGGGAGTAGACCTAATTGGGCACATTAATTACTTGCCAGTTAAGTATTCCATTTTCAATTTGAAGTAATACAAAGTAATACAACCACTTTAAGCATGACTTATATTCATCTATCAAGTAATTTATATTACCATATAGAAAAGTGTAGAACTAACAAATCGAACGGACCGAATAAGTTCGTGTCACTCAAGCTAGGAAAGAGACCTAAATCAGAGGGAAGGTGTTACGGAAAAGTCACGTTCCAAAAGTACTGAGGCAAAACTCCCAGTTGGCGATCCCTTGTAATGTAATGTATGTATCAAAGGGACCTAGTCAAACTCGTTAACTAGCTTGGATCCCACTAGCGCGTTCGATGATGAAACACAAGTAAACAAAACCGTTGCCAGATTGATATCTTCACGCCTCTTTGGCGTGCGCTTCAAAGATCGTCTGAAATTTATCTGAACACAGAGCTTAGACCTTTCCTAGGCAGGTGACCAAGTGTCAAGCCAAAAGCTATTCGTACAAACATCTTTCAACCAAAAAGGAGCTTTTCGTTGACCGACGAGCGAGTCCGGCTAACCTTCAGGCTGGTGGCCTTCCCCAAAAGAACCAACATCAGTGAGCTTACTTTTAGTCCCATTTCGATGGCCTTCAACCGTAATTTCTGTTCAAATTCATCAAGATGCAAACCTTGTAGGAGCAAAGGACTCATTCCTTCCGGTCGGTTGAGTGGTAGTCGAGCCAAGGTTAGAAAGCCGTCCAGATGCATGGAATGGTGTTGAACCAGCTCGACTGGGCCGAGAAACCGATGACCTGAAATTCAAGCAGCTCAGTTAAACATACAAGGCTTCTGTACCTGTGCGTTTAAAATCTCCTGTCAGCCTGAGAATCTAACAGTCATTAAAAGCATTGAGTGTATTTTAATTGCAAAAATGCAGTCCTAATCAGCATGACCAACAATGCATTTAATTTATATTTTTATTCGGTTCAACCAACAAAAGCTTCAAGTTCAGTTAAACAATTATAACAGTGGGACTGTTGGGCAACAGTCGCCACAAACCAAAATTATAGATCGCGCCCACTACGTCAGGCAAGCTATCTAAAAACTTTTTATGCAGTCTGCAGGCACATAGTTTATGGTGTGGATAGGCCGGCGTAACGGAAGATTGCCACGAGTAAACAGTAGAGAATAAACGAACAATAAACCACCGCTGTGACACTAGTCCTAAGGTGATCACACTTTGATTCCTATCACAATCCAGTTACGGATCCACGGTATATCTAAGTATGCTGTATATAGGGGGTTAACATATCTTTGACCCGATGAGAATGAAATGTTATCGGTCAAGACTGTATACAGCTGATTAATTAACGTGTAAAAAAGCATCGTACATAGGTTTATGAGCGAGACACTCGGGGTCTATAGTTCGTGGCCAAACGGTGGCATGAAACAGCCTTAGCTTTTGTCACCTCTTCTCCTACTTATATGTCATTTCCACATAGTAATAATCTGTCGAATTCTAACTTGTCTAGCTGATACAAAATTAGTCCAGTTCACCGACTATCAGCCGAAGTGTTGTAAGTGATGCATGTATAGCTCCAAGAAATAAAGTGTTAGTACAGCAGTCTATGTGTAATTGGACCTGCACAATATAGCTATCAGTTTTACCAACGATGTGTGTTATATTGATGTGAACTTTCAAAAACGGACTGTCAAAAACACATTTATCGCCTTTCACCAACCAAACCTGCACTGTCCAGAAGTGATGCCTGTGGACGAAGTAAAAGCAGCGCAATTACTGAAAACAACGGCACAAAAGGTGTTTTATAGCGCATGGTCCTAGGCAGGATTTTGTGGTTATTCATTCGGGACGGGTAAAATTGTCTGATGACTCATCTGGCGCCATAGAATGCAGTCGCAAAATCATTTGTACATTCACAGGCAAGCCTTTTTTTAGAAGCACCGACAAGTTTTGTTTTTGACAGGAAACTTAATCTACCGCGGGTGTCCTAGACCAGTGGCCACACTACACACTCTATCTTGATGTGTTATCGGAACAAACATATCGGCTAGATTGACTTTTTGGAGTTAGAAAACGCTTATTATAACCCTAACTAAGGGGACAATTGAAATGAGCTTTACCGTTGGTTGTAGATGGTTGCGAGATTTGTAGAATCCACATTCAAACCACCCTTGTTTGGACTTTCCTCCCCCTATTGTGATGCAATTATTCTAGTGATTACCGGTCTAGTGTGGACTCACCTGAATAATTGCACCACAGAACTGTTCAAACAACAGTGATGTGAACGGAAGATTTTTCCATATTGCTTCGAAAAACTTCGTATTTGCGTTACTGTCGATCTATGCTGCGTACACAGGTTCGGTTTCCTCGAGACGGCCTCATCTAGTTGATCATCCGTTCAGTTTCTAAAGCATCAAATTCTCTTGACAATAAGGGACCCATGTTGTCCAAGAAACGCAGCACTTCGTAGACTCCTGAGGAATCTGAACTTTATTAGTCAAGAACACAACCGAATTTACTTGTTCTTTGAAAGGTGAAAACAAGTGTCTTTCACTAGCAATTATTTCGAGAATAATCAGAGGTATCAAAAAATTAGAAGTGAAGATTAATAAAAAGCCGGAGGTACTAAGCGCGAAAAGCGGAAAATTGAATATGATAGCTCAGAAAACAGAAATTTTTGGTGCTAAAATATCACGAGCCCCTGTGAACCAAAGAATCTATGGGTTCCACCTGGAGAAGGATAAATGTTCCAAACAATATAGCAAAGCACCTTCGTTGGTCACCTTCAGGTGGATGGCCGCCTGATTTGGAAATATCTACCCATAAGAAGCCAATAAAATCCTTTCCTGGAGTGATTCCTATTGTCATTAGAAAGAAGGCCTCCCGAAAAACACAAGAAAACCAGAAGTGCAATGGTTCAGCATGGATGTATCACTGTAGTGAGGATAACTGAAAAAGAGACCAAATATGGTATACTACCAGTGACCTGAAGAACGAGGAATGACATAGTTTAGCTTACTTCTTTTCAGTTACAACCCCACTGCAAGTAGCCAAAAGACGGACCAACAATAAAAACATTTGAAATACTGAATAGAAGGAATAAGTTGATCAATCAGTAATTTCTGTCATAGGAATCAGATGCAGCCAGACTGTTTTATTTAACTGGTGACTGAAAGGGCGCACACAATAAAACGTTTCCAAACTCTTGTGTTTTGTTATAATGACTATCAATTTTAGGGAGGATCATCCAGTAACTGGCTTGTCAATATGTTTTTCGCATGGAAATTGAGAAACGGCCACAATAACATGAACTGATGGAGCCAATATCAGGGTGACGCCTTACCACAAGTCTGCTCATATGTCCATCTGTCTTGCTACCAAGACAATGGTATAAGTATTATTGTGTACAAAACAGGAAATAAACAATTCACGTTGGCAACCGGATAATATTCGTGTTGCCGTAACATTTTCTGGCGAAACAAGTACTGGAAATGACCGGGTATTATGGTTTGGATCGGGTGAATGTTTGTTTGTGGTAGACATCGAAGAAGCAAATGTTAAGAGCATTTTATAGGTCACAGTTATCTCTTTTGATGTGATATGGTATACTCCCACACCGCTATGAGTTCAAAAAGCAGACAGATCGTCACCTACTTGGGAATCTGCCCCATTTCGGAGAAGCAGACAGATCTGTCATGATTAATGTGCACAATCGTGTGACTGTGATAAAGAGTTAGTTGTCATATGAGGTGTTACTAAGTAGAAGGAGACTGATTTTACGTTTACGGGCATCTACATTATCGCCAGAACACACCAGTACAAAATACTGACGCTCAACTGCAAACTATTAATGAGAACAGGACACCTTTGTTTCAGAAGACAGAAAACTGAAGCGCGAGTTCTTAATCTTTAGAGAAAAGGGTGTCCACAACTTTGTATGGCAATCACTTTAGAGTAACATTGTACTAGAAAATTTGAGTGCGAGCGATTGCAAACCTTATTTAACACGTGAACTTTAGCTACTTGCTAGCATGTGAAGACTGTGAAGTTTTGATTGAGATTTCATCGCTCAATCGGCCAAATGGTATAGTTTTTAAATGCTAACCGAAAGGTCGCGGGTTGTGAATCTCCCTGGAAGATTGGTGAGATGCGCAGTGTTGACAATTTTCAACCAGACTGGAACCGATGCTTCTTGATTTTTAGTCAAGAATCGCTGAATTCGCAGGATGAAATCTCAGTTAACATTTCAGTTATTCGGTTTGTCCCTTAAATTAGCAGCATGCTCACCGATGGGATAGATAACATGTTATGTCCTGTCGAATTTCTGGCTATGTGCAAAGAGGATCACTTGGGCTCCAGTTAGGCAAGCTCTAAGATCCCATAACACTCCTCAATTTGTCGTTGTCATGCCACGGCTTGCTCTGTGCTCTACTCACCAAAAAGGGTTTTGAAAAGGAAAAATTGTTTCTTTGGTAGCCGACGGTTTGGCATGGATTGGACACATCTCAAAACCACCCTAGTCTGATAAGCCTTTTCGGGTGATCTAGTGACTCCGATTCACCATGGAACACTTGCGCACCCAGACACACACACCTCTTCGTTGGTAGCACAAGAGGGGAACTTTTCGGAAGCGAATTATGTGGATATCTGGAAATCTTAATAAGATTGTAAAGTGAAGAACTTGCGCGTACTGTCACTAAACTAATCGTCTAGGTCTCCACATTCGCGGTATGTGCCCGCCTAAACATCTGAGCTAACAAAGCGAGACACGACCCTTCACCTCGGATCTAAGGCACTCTAGCAAATAGAGCACTTGAGAATGAGGTTAGTTTATCCGTCTGGCTGTAGAAACACGGTAAGTACATCCTTGGACAAAAGAATAATGGCCAATCTGGCAAAGCGCTTCCTTCCTGAATTCAATTTTCCTTACCACAAAATGATTTCCACTATTCTGTCCATCTACCTCTTTGGAAGTAACAAACATAATCAGTCAATTTGACTGAAATAGATAAACGTACCTACTTCCGTTCACAAAAGGAGCCATGAATAAATGTTTGACGTCCATGTGGCTATATTTTGATAAGGCAGACACCCATATGTCAGGTCAGATAAGTAGGTCTACGCACGGCTGATATCCACTGTGGAGTTTGCTTTGTACAAGCTAACAAGGATGGGTGTGATGAAGGGAGAAAAATCCCAGCATTAAAACAGAACACTAAGAGAAAATTTACTGTAATGTTCCTATCAGGAAGTTTCTTGATTCATGGGACAAACCAGATGGGTCGCGAAAGAATAGACAATTTCCCATCCTCTGGGACTGATTGAGACTTATTTCAAATAACGGAAGTGGGTTATCATAGACCTTCTCTTGACATACACTAGAAATGAAACTTTGCTGAATTTAAGCTAAACAAAAGGGATACCACAGACCGGTGTAGCGACTTCATATTTAATGTTTTTTATCGCCCGCATCCACGTAACGACCAAAATAGAATGGTTCAGAGAAGAACTCTCCAAGTACACCTCTCAAAACAGTAACAGGGAGTGTGCGCAAAAATACTCCCAACTCAACCAACTTCCTGAAGACGGTGGTACTAGGAAAAAGGCAATTTTTCATAAAAGTAACTTTATGCTATAGTCTTGCTTCATATCACTCAAGGAACCATGAGGATGAAAAATTAAAACTCTCAGGAGTGAGAATCCAACCCAAAATAGAACATTTGACAATGCAGTAAATCCGGACGGAAATCGAGGTATGTAATAAGTACTGAACTGAAAATATGCGAAACC